CCTGTCTGAAATTTGGAGAGATTTGTTCCGCAAGCCCGAATACGCTGTTGGGAATTTCAAGCTGTGTTTCATCATCTCCTCCAAACTGTAAGACGTCTTACGAATCAGATCTCAGACAATCATGCAAATATGCAGTTTTCTTGAGTATTGATGAAGTTAAAGTCTTTACCCTGACTACATCTTTGCCTGTGACACCTTTTGCGTCGCCTGAACCATACTGGATGGACCATTTGGAGTTGGTACCAATGAATGTACTCGAACCTTCGATGGAGAATTTGTGTTTACCATCACACGAATAACTGAAAATGATTACTCAGAACTTTCAAAATTACGCTTCCTGTGTGTATGACCAGCCCTCTAATAACAACGGTTTAGGGAGAGGCATTTCAACGGATGATAGTTACAAAATGACTGAGAAACTTTTGTCATTAAATATCACTAAATAAAACTGGTACATTTGAAAACCGCAATCATAGTATCTAATTGGCAACTCACTCGCAACTGTGGCCAGGTACCCATAGGTCGGCAGACCCAGTATCGGGGATTACTACGAAATGTTGTCGTGGTGTTCCAATAGTGATATTCGAAACATATTCGTAGTCATGGTAGTCTAATGCCTGAAGAAATTTGATTTGAGATAAGGATCTAACAGAAGTGAAAGCTCATCAAGCAATTTTTTTACCCTGTTTGAATACCGTCCTGGATTCGCCGCTCGTAGAGCTGCCATCTCCCTCAGATACTCTTCATAAACTCCACGTCTTATCATATCAATCTGAACATGTTCCTGTCACCATTTTTCAAAGCAAAGTTGTTGAAACTAACTCTTTTAGATGTATGCCATGTCATTGGCTGTCTGATGACGGCCGTAGCTATGCCTATCAGAAACAAAAGTACTGCAACTTGCATTCTGATGGTTTCCTAAATGTACTCGATAAAAGTAATGATGTACATTATTCCACGTCAAAAAAATTTCAAAGTAGCATCAATTTGGTAAGAACAAGTACGCTAATTAGAAGATGCTGAAGTGACTAAGAGGCATTACGAAATGAAGCTCTCTGAGGAGCTTCCATAGTTTCTGAA